TTGTGTTTAAATATATAGGTATATATATAGTATAAAGTATAGATTGAAAAACAGATAGAGACATACATATACTTATATATAGATAAATGTATGAATAACGCATGCCCACACACTCAAACAGACAAAAACACACGCAAAAAACCTACACACACAAAACACACACACACACACATATATATATATATATATACATATATATATATATATATATATATATATATATATATATATATATATATATATATATATAAACAATTATTAGTAATAAAATAAAATACTTCACTTAAATAATAATTATCAGTACTTTGAATTTCATGAATTTTCTTATATCAAATCCTTGGTAGTATTTCGTTAATTTATATGTGTTCACTTTGGCCAAACTTTGGCCAGATTAACCTCGTCATATCTATCTATCTATCTATCTATCTATCTATCTATCTATATATATATATATATATATATATATATACGTATGTATTTACATACACCCCACACATACATATCGTATTTTTTATTATATAAATGCTATACTTTCAGTGGATACACTTATTAAAGTAGACATCCATTTCTTTTTCTGTTTTTTGTTTAAAAAAGTGCCATATTGCATTTAGAGAAACCACCTTCAAATCAGGTGAACTTTAGACCACCTATCTGCGAAACAAACTACAGGAAAGTTCAAGTAAACTTTTTAAGAATTATACATCTCTTTTGGGGATATTTCAAAGCCCATATCTGCGAACTACATTTTTGTATCCGAGAGGTAAACAAATTAATTTTTCAGCAATTAATAATATTTATTTATCATCCAACATTATTTTCTATGACTATAAACTTTATATATATATTTGGTGGTTGCACATATTTGAGTAGACATCCCTGTTTTTTAAACATTCTGATTCAATGTCTACCGCTGAAGGCATTCGAAAGTCTTAATATAGACGTACCTTTTTAGAGGGTTTGATGCAACTCATGAATCCATCAAATATGCGTGTGTGCGCGCGCCTGTGTGTGTGTGTGTGTGTGTGTGCGAGCGTGCATGTGTGCGTATTTATTGTTTTTATCGCTAATATTTCAAATTTGTGGTGCAAAAATAAGCTGAAGTATTAAAGGTGATATATTTTTAAACATTTTACATGACCATTTAAAAATGATATACGAGTTTCTTTCACTTAAATATTAAATAGGTGACATACACGCAGACCAAACAATTACGATTTAACCAGTTATAATCTGCTTTTCTGGCTATTTTTTCAATATACCTATCTCATTTTCATTTTTCTTCCAAGTAAAAATGTTTGTTGTCGCCAGACATTATTGTTTTTTTTTTCTTTTATATAAAACATATTTCTCCTCTACATAAACGTTGTAGATTTGTTTTAAAATTAATGGTATATTTACATTTATATATTTCTGCAGATAGTTTTGGAAACAAACGGAAATATATCTAGATTTTGAGCTACATTTCGATAAACTCTGTGTTTATTGAGATTACTAAATGTTTTTATTTCCATAAGAGTAGAAGAATTTAATGATCTTCACTAGTATAGTAAGAGCAAAACATTCACAGTATAGTGTAATTTGTTTATCAACTGAGTGAATGACTGATTAAGAGCTAGAACTAGATTCAATAATGTTGAAATATTAATTTTAAAGATGAACTTTGAAATTCAGTGGTGAAAATGCTAATTAAAAGTTAACAGAAAATAGAGAGAAAGTGTTTATACAATTATATGTCAATATAACACTAGTGACACGGAAAGCTTTATTTTTAGTTCTCATGTGCGAATCAAATTTGCTGTCACTGTTGGGATTAGTTCTTTAGCTCTGCCTTAAAATCTAAAACAGAAAAAAAGGATATTTTAAGAATATAAAAGAAAAGAATAGAAAGAAAATATTTCTGTTAAAATAAATGAACAATTGTAAGAAAATGGAAAATGGCAAATATAGCAATATATAATGACAACATTGGAAGTGAAATGAATGTTCAAAGAAATAAGGTTACTATGGATGTCATGTCTAAAATATAATGAAAAGAAATTGACACTAAGTTTTATTTACCGATAAACTATTTACAATTTGAAAGACCAGTAGATCAGTAATGTTTTAAATAGATTTCTTACTGACACACAGCATCAAATTTGTCTAAGGAACTTCGGAAAAGGAAGCCATCAGATTCACCACAATGAATCGGAAGCAGAAGATGGTGAAAAAAAAACAAGATATAGATAGATTACAAAGAGAGAAATTTCTAGGGAAATTGTGAAAATATTATTTTAGATATAGAGGGGAAAAGAAAGTTACAATAGGGAAAGTTAGGAGAAAATATATGTGAGAGAAAGGAAATAGTCATAAGTGACGTAAGTCATGTAGAGGAAATTAATTAGCAATTATAGAAATTAGAAACCGTATATATAAAGAATACAAATACACAGTTAAGCGTAATATCATACGTAGACATAGATAAATAAGAAAAATGAGAAGAGTCCAATACATTAAAGGA